CATTAGGAAGTTGACACGCCATCTTCTAGTCACATGCCGTCACACAGTGGTCAACCTAACTATTTAATAAACCTTTTCTTTCATTTTTAGAAAAATCCTAGTGGGACATTGTAAATATGTTTGCTTTTTTTGTGGGATAATTATTTTAAAAACATTTTAAAACATTTTATCTCATGTATTATTTTTTAAAATCATTTCAAAATCAATCTTTTGATTATATATTTTTTCTATTGCGTTTTTCTATTTTTATCGTTGACGTATCCTAACCTACCGTGCCCATCCATTCTCAAGCATTACCCCAAGGCCTTCCTGTTCGCAAAAGATTTTATTTTTAAAATTTATTTTTTCCATTTATTTTAATCCAACTGAGAAATTCTTCCTCGCTAGTTCATTCCCAATAGTAAGTTCAAGATACCCAGTTAGATTATTTTTCTTATCACCCGGCTCTTCATTCTCATCATTAACAATCATCATATTTTTATTATTATTATTATTTTTATTTTTATTATCATTCAAGTCGGGTGAAAACATCGTTGGCAACAGAACAACCCTTGCAAGCTACCTTCCCTTTCTTTATTTCCCAATCTCATATATTCCCCTCAAGAGATTCTTGTTCGCCAGAATTTTTTTTAATCTAACTGGAAATATTTATAATACAAAGTATACTAAAATATTTATATTTTACTACTCTGTGAACTTCCCTAATTTCTTGTTCATAATTTGTGTTTGCCTTGAATAAATTACTATATCATATCCTGAAGTTTTTTCCCCCATTTTTCACGTGGAAATATATTTATAATACAAAGTTCATTTCAAAAGTTATTGCAATCAAATATTTCATTGAAGCTACAAACTTAAAATTCTCAGAGCTTCTCAAAAAGTATCCACCTTTAGCACCTATGCAAGGTTTTATCCGTGAAAACCAATTATCGAAGCACTTACACCAGTCATCTTCGAGGATGAAATTTACGGCATTGAAAAAGGCTTGCAGTGCTTCATCATCATTGCCAAATTTTATACCTTTAAACAATGACTTAACTTTTGGAACTTAAAGAAAGTTAAAAGGTGTTTGGTTTGGTGAATATGGTGGATGAGTTATTAATTGGACACCAGAGTCGGCTAAAAAGACTAATGTTTGGGCTGAGGTGTGCGGTCTTGCATTGTCATGGTGAAGGACTAATCTAAGCTGGGTCTTGGTCTTCTTTGCTTGATTTTTCAAATACTGCTGGAAACATTTTCTTGTATACCAGTCACTTTTATTTAAACATAGAAACTTTCTCCTTGGAATATAAATACTATAAAATAAAGTGCCGGGAGAAAATGATTTTTTATTAATCGACTACACGAGCTTTCGGGCAGTCACGCCCTTCAACTGGTAATGATACATGATGGCAATAGGCCTTAAATATGATTCCGTTTTTAAAGAGATATTTTTACATATGAGAAAAATAATATAGGACGGCTAAAAAACAATTTAGTTAAAAGATATTTGCAAATCTAAGCTATTATATAATATATTTATGTAACTATGCTAATCCTGTAATGCCGGTTGACAATAAATGGTAGGTTTGTAATTGGCTAAAACATGTGACTATATCATGAAGAGAGACTAGTATTAGGATATCGACTGTTCAACCCGCCATCAGCGGCCATATTGGAACTATACTGGGGGAGGGGGGGGGGGGGGGGGGGTTTAACGGTTATTCAAGTTACTACATATATCCTGATATTGTGCAGGTAAATCTATATGTCGGTTAATGCTATTTTTTGATATGGATACTATGGCTTCTATGATCAGTCTTTGGTATTTATTGGAGATGTTATTGTATAATGTGGTGGGTGAAGTTAAATCGAAAGAGTGGCCTGTGTCAAGAATATGGTTGTAGATGAGGGACCTGTTGTCTTTGTTATTGACGCACCTGCCACCTGCCACTTTTAACTGTGTTTTGATTTTCTAACCTCACAAAATCAATAAAATCACTTTTTCTAAAAAAATAAACAAGGTCCCATTTCAGTCAAGCTCTTTGGTACCCATCTACTAAATGATTTATTTATTTTAAATGATCATTAATTAAAGCGTAGATTGGTGCCGATTTAATGCCCACACTTCTCTAACTGATAATACGTAATTATTCGATATTCTCTAAGAAAAAATTTGACCAGCTCTTCTTGGGTCACTGCTGTTGGTAGTCTACCTGAAAAAGGTTCATATTCAAGGTTGGTGTTTCCAAATTTGAAATTATTAAACCAATTAAAAACTGTTCTCTAGTCAACTCCATTGTGTCTGATGCAATGTTTATAAATAAGCGCCGCCACTGTAAACAAAGTCGTGGCCTCTATGAATTATTGTTGTTACTACTTTATGAAAATGTTTATTTTATATAAAAAAATGAATGTCGATTTTAATGGTTCTATTTATTTTTCAATATTTTGATTATTCAATATTGATTTAAAAACCTTTCTAGTGACTCTTGTAATAAATATCAACTTGTGTGTGTGTTGTGTGATCATACACTATATTTTCAAAGTTTTCAGAATTGGCCAAGTACCTTTTCTTGATTTTTCAAGACATTCGAACATGTACGTGTTTTTATAGGTTGTTGGCTTTTATCAGCGTGAATTCCCAAAAGGCCAGTTTGTTAGCTTGCACCTGGCCGATGAGAGCCAACAGCCTGAAACGCATATGTGGTAAGATTCCCTAGATTAATTGAGAAAGTGGTATTCGGCCAATTCCGGAAAAATTAAGTAATCAACTATCAGTTAATATTTATTCAAGATGTCGCAAGCCATCAGCAACCTTTAGTTGCACAATCAAGAAATGCATTTTTCTCAATTTATCCACACTTTATTCCAGACAATTTTACCTTTTTTGTTATTTTTTTCAACATTTTTATTTCAAATATAGCTGGAAATTCGTAAAAAGGCTGTATGTATAAAACTATTTATCAAACCTTCTATTCGTTTTATTTATGAAAATATTTTTATTCCAGGTGTATGATGTGTATTATAAAGAAAAACAATATTTTTTCTAATTAGAAAATTAAATCAACAATAATAGAAAATATTGGCTCAACAAAATTATTTTGAAATCAAGTTAAAAATATATCTATAGAAGCGTAGGAGAAAATATCTTGAGGCAATATTTACATATCTTAATTCAAGATATTTCTACAATAAGTTTTAAATGAATCGGTAAGACATTTTTTTCAAGAAATCAATTACAATTCGGAACTTGAATAGAAATCAAATATGAAAAAATAACAACATTGCTTCTTTAATCAATGTTCTTTTGAAATTTTGAAAAAAAAAAGAAAATTATCTGTATAAAATATAATAGCAAAGAACATATTTTAAGAAATTCAAAGAAATTTGAATTTTTTGAATCAAGGTGTTCAGACATGACTCTCTTCTCGTGGAAATACGTCGTATACAAATCTACCATGTCAAATAACGAATTTCCTGTTGAACGTCAAAAAACGTGATTTTCCTTATATCCAAGAGAGAAAACAATAGCATACTGACAAGTGATCCTCCTCAGTTTGGCGCAGGTTATAAGTCAGTTAGCCAATCCGTTGTCCTATATACTACATTGTGACTTTAATAAAACGCTATTCAAATATTAGTAAAACTAGCCGAGTGACCCGGGCAACGCCCAGGGTTTACCCAAAGGGCCTGCAGAGACTTTAAAAGTATAGATGGTGGCTTAAAAATCGCAATGGGTATATTCCGATTTCCTAGAAGCAGCATTTCAAGTAAGGATAAGTAAAAATACTTTCTAAGTATAAATTCGTTAATTCGACCATGTTTTGATTTCCAGAACCTATGAAATTACAAACAGTAATTCGACAATACCGATAATTCGACACCTTGCGATAATTCGACCCTGATTTGATTTCCCAATCTCTGGCCTATCAAATAACAAACGGTAATTCGACAATATTAATTATTCACCACTTTTGATAATTCAACCATTTTAAAATGCAAATTTCGACGATTGATGTTTACTTACAACTTTACTAATAAAAAGGTATTATATATGCGAGCAACGAAACATTTTGAACCCATATAACGCAAATTCATATCCTCACTTATAGGGTGTCAAGCCTAAAGGATGCGAATTCATGTCCCTGATTTCTAAAAATTAACATAAAATTGTAGGCTACCAACGCGAATTCGCGTCTACTGGGATCTTTTCCCATACCTTCTTGCCTATTTATCAGTGGGTTGGGTTGGGGGGAATGTCAGCTGTACCAATGTACCTGTAAAATGTCACACGCGACCGAGTTCAAGCAGCCATTATTTTCATTATTTCAAGCTATATAGATTACATTAAAAGAAAATAGCATTTTTTAAACATGTTTTTTTTATGAACAACTCGATTTTCATACGGCCCACTGGACCATGTAACTCTGGAATCATAAGTGCAAAAACAGACATCCCTAAAGGACTCCTTTAAAATATCTTCATGATTCTTTTTTAATAATATTCTTAAACATTTTAATTTTTTTTTCATATTCATTTACTTTTCAATATAGAAAATAAGATAACATAAAAGGGATAAATTCATTTAATGGACCTCACTAAAAACTGCATTTCTAGCCGAATGACCCGGGCAACGCCCGAGTTTTACCCGATTAAATGTTTTTATTCAAATACTATTCGTTACAATTATAAATTGGAGCCGTGGATGTCAATCTTGTGAAACGTCCCGTTCCAAATTTTACATGTACATTAGGTCAGCTGGTATTACCCCCCATTTTCACCGCTAGAGGCGCGAGCGAAAGAGCAAATTTGCAAATAACACGACGGATATTCGGGATAGAGACCTGAAATTTTCACTAAGAGTTTTTCAGATTCTACTTAATATACTGTTAAAATTTCAGTCTGATTAGTTACGTATTGTGGACGTGTATAGTTGACAAACATACATACATACGCTGACTTTTATATATATATGAATAATAATATAAATGAGTTTTAAAAATTGTAAAAAAAAAAAATGCATCGGCCGGGAATCGAACTTGGGCTGCCCAGGCGAGCTTTCTACCACTGAACCACTGATGCTTATAAGAAATGGCCCTATTTGGGTATTTATTCCATTCACAAAAGCAAACGATGACAGAATTGTTGATGACTCTGATACTTGTATTTATAATTATGTTAGCATAATGAATTAGTCAGTATTCCCATGGTCTCCAGAGAAGAGGTGTGAATTGACTTTTTGAAAATATACATAATTATAAAGATAGAAGCTTCTATAGAAATAAATAAAATAAGCCGAAATATCTCAGTTAGGAAAGCGTTAGACTGAATATCTAAAGGTCCCTGGTTCGATCCCGGGTTTCGGCATCTTTTTTTAATTTTTAAATTTTTACTTACCGTAACTTGACACGTGACTTAACGTGACAGAATTGTGCATGACGCTGATAACAGTATATATTAATGTGACATCACTTCCCACTCAATATGTTGTGGGACTACCATTAAAACATATTGTTGATTATAAACACAAGGTAATAAAACCAAATCCATATAAATAAATAGTGTGTGACGTTCCAGCGTTGTTACCATCTTCAAACAAAAGTACTGAATGATACTTTTGTCAGTACTTTTGTCTGAAGATGGTAACAATGCTGTTACTGAAACATCACACACTATTTATTTATTTAGATTTGGTATTATTACCATGGGTTTAAAATCTATAATCCAAATTGTGCCTTATCATCTTGTTGATTAATAAATGAAAAGTTATGAGAACCTTTATTCCTGACAATTTAATAAATTATATAATAAGAGGATTGAATTTCAACATGAATAAATTATCATTTGAGAAGCAGTTAGAAAACAAAACAAGATGTTTTAAAATGTCAAAGTGGGTATATTTCTTTGTCCGAAAATCACTTTTTAATTGCATTGCAAAATATTTAGTAGCAAAAATTTGTATTGAATAATTTAGAATTTGATAAGGTAAAATTTGGGTTATAGATTATAAACAAAAGGTAATAAGACTGTATCCAAATAAATAAATAAGTGTGTGATATTTTGGTAACAGCGTTGTTACCATCTTCAGGACAAAAATACTGAAACATGACAAACTTTGGTCTGAAGATGGTATCAACCCTGTTATTTAAATATCACACACTATTTATTTATTTGAATTTGGTCTTATTACCTTGTGTTTAATTCCGAATTTATTAATTTTTTAAAATGAATTATTGTATCCAATTTTATTTATTTCCTTATTGGAATACAAAAAAAAAATTAATGTAACAAAATTAACATATTTTAAATATCCCAGCTAGCTGGCTGGCTGTAGAAAGGTGAAAAACAGTCTTAAAAAAAAACACGCTCTGACGTTCGAGGCCAAAAACTTAATATGTACACTGTGTGACAAAGAAATTACTGAAGAACTCCCCCATTACCTGCTTAATTGTACATCCCTTGATGCAGAGAGGAAGGCCCTATATCAACAAATTAAATGTACCAACATTTCACCCTACGTATTGCTTTCAAAAATATCAGCAAATAAATCTAAGGCAATAGCTTATTATAATTTTTTTAGATCATCATTTTGTAAGGAACAGTCAACAAGTGAATGACTTTGAGACGAAGGGTAAAGCCAGTTTAATTTCTATGTAAATAACACAAGATGATTATTATCTTACCCAATTGGGAGAATCTATATGGGGCAAGTCCTTAATAAAGGCTTTTGTGTGTGTGTGTGTTTATTATCAACGCCTAACCATTTTTCTATTTTTTTGTAACAATTTTGTAATAATTTAAATAATTAAATGACTTGTAAATTATTCGTGAAATGCTTAGAGTATATATATTTGAATATTTCAGGAAATTTAAAATTAATATTGTTTGTCCTTGGAAGGTTTAGATAAAATATATTTTTAAATATATAAATTCTTCAAAGATTTTTGTCAACAATCAAACTACATGACAACATTATGCAAAATTTTTATGAACAAAGGTTTTTAAAAATCTTAGTTTCACTTCAGAGTTGGAAAAAAATATTTAGGCGAAAAAAAAAAATCATCTATACCTTTTTTTCCTCTTATGTAATTAATGTAAATATTTTTAAAGATCTTGATAATTTTTAAATAATCATTGCATAAACAATGTTGCAAAGTAATCTTATTATCTTGTATAAAAGATATATAATTTCCTCAAAAAAAGAAAAATGATAAATATATTATAAATATATAGCTATATTCCTTTGGTTTTCGCTTTATTAGTAATATTATACAATATAAAGAAATATAAAAGAAATAAATGCTAGAATAAAAAGAACGCGCTTTCAAAACAAAGGAATTGATGATGATAAATGCAAAAAATCTACGATTGTAAAATAGATTAAATTAAAAAATAAAAAGAACTGTTAACATTAGAAAAATAAAAACAGAACTAACATACGAAGAAAAAAATAACGAAAATTTTGGTATATAGATCGTTATGTGTAGTTCAGAATCTTCAGAGGAGATAGCTTAGGACTTTACAATGGAAAACTCTGTTGCGGTATTATCTATATAGATAACTACTAATCTATATATATATAAATGAATGTTTGTTGGTCCGTTGGTACGTTCGTTAGTGATAATCTTCTACATCGCTCAACCGATCGTGATGAAACTTTGGGAAGTTGTTTAGTATACTACCGGGATGGTTTCTGGCTAATTACTCTTTAGAAATAACCTTTCGTTGCATTTTTATTTACAATAAAACGTAAATTCACTCGCAATCAGCGCCCCCTCGCGGTAGGCGTATGGCCTGAAATAGCCTCGCATGAGCTTATTTGTAACGTCAATCTTAGCCTATAGGTTAGGTACACAGCTTCGTACCCCCGCAACCTATGTTCGAGGCTCAGCGTGGGTGGTTTTTTTTCATTTCTTTTATATTATTGTAGCAAATTATTAAAAATATTATTTTATTTAAAATGTAGGCTTTTTAAAATAAAAATTAACATAAACAATTTTTAAATAATATTTATAACAAACCTAGGTTCGAGGCTCAGCGTGGGTGTCTTTTTTATTTTCATTTCTTTTATATTATTGTAGCAAAGTCTTTTTTTACAGCATTATTATATTTTAATTGGTTTATTTTAAATATGTTTGTTATGAAGGCTCTATGTAATACTATTTAGAGCACATTTTACATTTTAAACACCTAAGCCCCCCTCTTTTTAATATTGTAGCAAAGTATTAAAAGTATTATTTTATTTTAGATGTTTGCCATGAAACTTTGGGAAGTTGTTTAGTATACTACCCGGACGATTTCTGGCGAATTATTTTAAAATAATATTTATAACAATGATTATAGCAAATTTTAAGACATATTTTTAAATTCTGTGTTTGTGCATATATAAATATTTTACAAAAATTGTGAGAACGTTCTATTAGAATATCTCAAAAACAAAAAACAATACATATAAACAAGTTCACTGACATTTATTAATGCAGTGATTATAATCAATAATTACAATAAAGGGCTATATTATCTATCTCTCTCTCTCTCTCTCTCTATATATATATATATATGTTATATAAAAATATGTTCATCAAATATATATCATAGATTCAAATATTGTTAAATCGACCGCCAGAGGTCAGGCTTTCTCTATAAATATCTATTGTTGTTCTTCCCCGTTGGCCGGCTAAAACATTTGTACATTATGTAAATAATCTTTTGTTTTTATTATTCTACACTCGCCTTAAGCCAGGCAGTACTTTTACAAAATTATGTTTTTCATATGTATTCATTCCTCAGCTCAATAAAGAAATCTCTAATCAAGACTTTATATTTTTCAAGATTATTGTTCGACCACGACTGCACCACCATAGCATAATCATCAATATGATCCAAAACAACAGAATATCTATCTTTTTTTTAAATATAATATATATATATATATATATATGTAGTATATTTTAAGCTAAATAGGTCACAATCTTCTTATAATATTTATAATAACCCTATATCTATATAAAATATGTATCGACCTTGTATAACAATAGAAGTGACAATAAAATAAAGATGTAGAGGTAGACGACGCGACAAAAGTCCAGACGACAAAGGCCAGACGTGATGAACAACCCAGACTAACAGGTGTTTATGCTAATGAGTTCATTCCCCCGTCAGCAGGTGGCCGAACACGTGGCCAGACATAATTAATAACCCAGCGCTTGACAGGTGGCGTGATTACGGGAACCAATCAGAACTCGTCAACATCTGCCAGAGTCGAGTATATAAGGTCCCCCAAGATGGGACAAAAAGTAGTTGTTTCAGTTGTTTCAGAGCGACGCTGTCATACGGTCAGTCAGACTTCTCACCCCTATCCGCGATGTAGACTTAGGGCATCCGTGACGCCCATGGTCCGACTGTCTTCGTCCGTGGTCTACCTCTATCTTCCTGGAGTTACCATCTAGACCTGCCTCTGTCTCTTGCTGTCCCAGTGCGGGAATCCCATCACGCACCCACTACCACGACTGCCCAGCACATTCTACATCGGGATTACTACAGAACCCGTTAAAGTCGACAGGATGCCTGAAGACAGCAGCGTGCAGAGGATGACGGAGGTCAGAGACGACTACGTCGCGGATGCCCTCACCAACATGCAGCCCCACTGCGAAGACCGAGTAAGCCACCTAAAAGACGCCATGCGAGGACTAGCTGCACCTCGCATCGAGAAGGTCATTATCGCCCCCATCGACATCTCCTGCGCCACGAACATCTCCCCCCATCGGCTCGAACAGGCAGACAAAATTCATCGAGAAATCCTGACATTGCGCCGCCAACCAGCATCGACGATGTCCCATGGCAACCACCGCAAAAAAGACCACCAAGCCTCATCGCAGCCCACTCCACAAGACCCATTCAAGACATCCATCTGGTAGGAGAATTTTCTCTACAGAACTATTTAATGTAACACTTTTTCCGTTTGCTCTGAATTAATTATTCGATGCCATTTTAATAGCAATAACATTATTATTATAAATCCATAAAGTTCATTATTTTACATTTTTATAGCATTTAAATTCAAATATTAAATCTTGTACACC